TTAATAGTAGTTTAGTAGTAGCAGTAGTAGTACAAGTAGTACTATCACAGTTATGGATGGTTTCACTAAAGCATCAGGGGTTATTTCAGCCCCTGGAGGGATAATAATATATTTACTACAAGTACATGTACAAGGTATACAGGCCTAGCTGACATCAGTGACATACTTAAACCCTACAGAAAACACCTTGTTATGCAGAGCATTTGGGGCAAATTAGGTCCTTGTCCGAGGATGCGATCCACACCAGTCGACTAACACCCAGGTACCCATTTTACAGATGGGTGAACATAGACAGTCGGGGTAAAGAAACACGCCCAATGTTTCTGCCCCCCCTGGGAGTCAAACGCAGACCCTCGCCATGTGAAGCAAGAGCTTCAGCGATCAGGCCACGGGGCACTGTATGGGAACCAAACAGGTTTGATCACAGGGAAGAGAAGATTGGTCCAGTTTCTTAGATCAGGAGTGTCTGACTGGCATGAAGGACCTGCCTTGAGGGGCCTTCAGTGTTTTGATCTGCAGCTTCTGGACCTCTTAAGAACATCTCTTCGAGTTCAGTTTGTAACTCTTCTGTCTCATGAGGATTTACAGTGTAACTGCCATGCCCCTTGCGTGAGTTGCGGTAGCGAGCGCTGGGGTTGTGGGATACTCGGATATCTCAATAAGCTCCGCGAATGCATCTATCTCAGACCTTACTATCAGTAATTGTAAGCCAGCAACCTCTCTCTCGTCACTACCTACGTCCTCATCATTAACTACGATTTCATTAACAACATGTCCTCCTCCCACGCTCGCACATCTCCTCTTCCCCTTCCTCACATTCCTTAGCCTCGTTGTCTCACCCCTCCCGACCTCTCTCACACATCACAGTGAGGTCTTACGTAGCTCACACGTGAGAACATTCAGCTCACACCCACCAAGTCCAGTGTTCGATTCCGTAGCTCGGAGAAACATAGAAGCGAGTTTCCTTTCACCCTTGTCCACCTAAAGGTAAAATAGATACTTGTATGTTAACAGACTGTCGTGGGCAGCATCCAGAAATATGTGTTAGATAACTCAAGTGCTGCTGAAATGTCATATCCTACATGTAAGTACTAAAGTGATGAGTAAAAGGTATTAGTGTGGACAGTACAACTAATGAGTGTCAGAAAATGCAACCACTACAACACTGGTTGTCCTTGTGTTGAAACTCCCGTTATTAAGATTAATGGTATGCATAAGGTGCCTCTTTCAAACCTTCAACACGACTCCTGCTGACTCAGGTGCACTCCTAAATTCTCGGTCACCTTTTCAGTGTCTTCTATGTTCTTGACTTTCTATTATCTGGTTTTGTTTATTTCATCCTATTTATAATTAATCGATTTTCTTCCTCCTCCTCCTTCTTCTTCTGCTTCTTCTTCTTCTTCTTCTTCTTCTTCTTCTTATTATTATTATTATTATTATTATTATTATTATTATTATTTTTAATATTATTATTACAATTATGGGGAGCGCTGAATCAGTAAGGGTCACAGAGTGCTTGAGGGTACTGGAGGCATTCAGATTCGATCCAAGTAAGGGGAGGTCAGGTTCAATTCATTGGATCATCCAGGCACCTTCCATGAAGGGCACACAACTACAGTTCATCGGTTCTTCTGACAAAGACGAATGTGCGTGTGTGTATGTCCTATAAAACATTTAACCTTTAAAATCCTATACTTTATTTTGATATGTTAATGTTTAGCTTAATGAAGGCTAGTGGACGCTAATGTGCGCTCGCTTCTAGT